CCGAGCTGGATTGCTTCCACCATTTTTTGTGTGTGTGTGTGCGCGGGGATGCGGGATGCGTGGAGGAGGCTCTTCCCGCAGCTGGGAAGTGTCCGTGGGCCGGAGCCCCGGCCAGGCAGCGCGCCAGGCGCGGCGGATCCGACAAACTGGAACCTGGGGCTGGATCCTGGGCTGGCCGAGATGGCTCTGGATCCCACCCAGCCATGGCTCTTGCCTCTGCCTTGCTCTTGCCTGGAAATCCTGCTCGGGAGGGTCTCCCCTCTGGCAGAGCCGGGTCCAGAGCCCTTGGGACACCCGGCTCCTTCCCGGGGCGGCCGCGCGCTCCAGGGTGCACATGTAGGGAGGACAGCGGAGCCCCCAGGCTGCAGATTTGGCATCAAAGCCCCTTGCTGGAGCCACTCGGGGGGCTGCTGCAGGCTGCTTTCCCAAGGAAATGAGTGTTTCCAGGGATACTTGTGATGAACACCTTGGAAAAGAGGGGAAAAAATGTGAAATACTGGAATCAAATCCACTGCAGGGCTTTAATCAGTGTCAAGGTTGGCTTTTTTTCGGATCTTAAAGTGTGCTGACCTGATGAACCATCAGGTGCCTTCATCTTTTTTTGGAAATAGCGTTTCCTGTCTTGGAAAGTGTCACTTGGAGAAGCGCAGGCACGTAGGAGGCCTGGATCCGAGGCCCATTTCCACCTGCTCTAAGAGCACCCTTCACTTTGCCAGAAGTGCGCCAAGCGACTTCAGCATAAATAAGGCTCGAGCCCCATGTATTTTTATTGGGATGGTTGCGAGTGCGATTTGCCAAGAGGTTTCCTTGCGGAGACGATGGGATTGCGGGATGCCCGGCCGGCTTGGGGGCTGCTGCTGTGCCCAGGCGCTGTGACGTGCCCTCCCGGAGCCGCGCGCGCGTTCGGAAGCTTGCGGGAGCGTGCGGCGCTGCCGGCCCTGGCGCTGGATCCTAGCAGAGCTTCTTCAGTTGAGCGGGATGGGGGATCCGACTGGGATAAGAAAAAGAGGGAACTGGGTGGAAATTGGGCTGTGTGGGTGCCCAGAGCTGCTGTTTCCACCATCTGGCCCCAAGGGCGGCTTTTGGGGTGTGCCAAGGACTTTTGGAAACTGGAGGGAAAGGGAGCAACCTGGGAAAGGCAGGATGAGGCCAGGAAGTCCTGGCAAGCTCCGTGTTTCCCCACCCGTTGCTTCTGGGCTGAGGAGTGGGGATGTCTCCACCTGTCCCGCCGTTCCTGTGGCCGTTTCCCCCTTGGTCGGAGCGCGGCGTGAGCTCCAGCCGGGCCGCGCGCAATGGGCCGAAGCTCCCGGTGCGGAGCGCGCGGACGCTCCCTGCGGCTGGAGCCATCCAGGCCCGTGCGGCGCTCCCGTGTCCATCGCCCGTCCATGGGCATTTTCCCTCCAAGTCGCTTCCCCGGAGCGCGCGTGTGCTCACCGCGACGCGGGGAAATTTGCCCGGGTGGAAAAACAAAGCACCCAAGTGTTTCGTGGGTGATTTGTGAAGAGCTGGTGACTTGCGAAGGAAAAGCTTCCTGCAACCCAGGGCACAGCCGTTCGGAGAGAGGATGGGATGTGGGGAAGGGCGGAGGCTGCCTGGATGGGGAGCGCGCTGGCTGCAAACTTAGGGAACAGCAGAAACCCTTGGCCACCGGGACAGCCGGGTTCTTCCCCAGAAATCGCCTGGAATCGGCGCGGATCAGCCCAAGGAAGGTGCAGAACTGACTTCTCCGGCCGTTTTCACTCCGCTCCTCGTGGGAAAGCGGACGGCGCGGCCGCGTTCCTTTGTGCGCATGGGGACGAGGTGACCGGTCCCTCTGCCGCTACCTTCCCTGCAAGGGTGTTTTTTTCCTCTCCGCATCCACGCGGCCTCCATTGTCACCTGCGTCCGGTGACATCCCGCAATGGAGCATCTCCCAACCTCGGCACCGGGAAGGAGCGTGTGTGCTAGGGGAGCTTCACGTCAATCTCTGTTTCTCGGCAAGGTGAAGCCGAATAGCAGGAGGCCCCGCTCGCCCCAGGTGATCGGGCTCTTTGTGTAGCTCCTAACTCGCTCCATGTTTAATAATAGTCCCGGGAAGGCTTTTCCATTGAGGAAATGTGCCGGTTGCAGCTCTTTCCCCGCCAGCATCCCAGGAGGAGCAAGGAGGCCACATCCTGCTCGCTGGGCGTCAACCTGAGGGCTGAGGCCACCCGGGGCCGATGACCAAGGTCCTTATGCTGCTGGCGTGGCCCGTGGGGGCAGAGGGAGGTTGGCGTCACATCCTTGGAAAGTGTTAATGAGAATCAGGTTGGGGTGGGGGGAAAGTGCCGAGCGGGATCCACTCGATGCCGTTTGAAGCCGAGGTGGGAGGAGAAGGCGGCTCCGGGAGGGAGACAAAGGGAATTTTCCAGGGGCAAAGGCACCGGCTCCGCACTCGACCGCGGCCGCCGGATGCCCCAAGGAGCCTCGCGGGCGGCCCGAATCTAGGGCAGCGGGGAAGCGCCGGAGGCCAACGCCCCGGCGCCCGCGGCATCGGGATGGGGTGGATTCACGCGGATTCGCTGCTCTGGGAGGGGGGCGAGTTGTTTTTCTGCTTTTTCCCCCCTCAAAACAACTTCCGTCGCTGCGTGGGGAAAGCCCAAATCGCCGCCCCAAAGTGGCTCCTTATTTTTGTGGCGCGCTGATTTTTCCCCCCGCCCTCCTTTCTTGCAAACACAACTTGCGTCCTCCGTACAATAAAAACCCGTCCTCCGTACAATAAAAACTCCGTGCCAGGGATTTGGCTGTTTGTTTGTGATGCTTTTGTGTGTATTTGTGTTTTGGGATTCTTTTTTTTGACACCCCTTTCATCAGATTTTCAATGCAGCGAAAATTCCCCCCCAACCCCAGATATTCAGCAGGGTTTGTTTGCGATGTTCTTTGTGTGCTTGTCTTTTAGCGTGGCTTTCATCTTAAATGGGAGAAGAATGCCCCACCTTCCTGGAGATATTTGATGGTTGTTTATTTTAGGGTCCCTTTTAATTTTATAACCATTACAGAAAAAGAAAGAAAGAGGAAAAGACCAAGTCCTAATTTGCCTCCAGGCTCTTTTCTACCACACCAGCAATGTCAAAATGTCTTAAGTGGGGCATTTAGAGGTGTAATTTATACCAGCGCAGTGCAAAGGAGCCTCGATATAAGGAGAAGGGGAAAAATCCTTGTTCACACCTTGTGCCAGTGTAAAAAGAGAGGAGAATTTGGCTCCCTGCATCCAAATCTTCCCCCAGTTTCCCTCCCTACACCCCTCCGTTGCCTCCGTTTGGACTAGATTTATATAGTTATTTCTCCCTAGCTGCTCTGCAGATTAATTCCAGCGAGCTAACTGGTCTGGGGACGGTGCTCGTGGCTTGCTCTGCTCATGGGCAAGTGCATTTACACCGAGTCCATTGGCAAGGAGTTAAATGGAGTTCAAAGGAGGCAGCGATGGGGAGAGGAAATCGCCCTACCGGCCTCCTTTGCAAGATGCTTTGAGATCTGTGTTATTGGCAAAAAAAAGCACAACATAGTAGTATTTAGGTGGTGGAAACACAAGAAGAAAGGTTTAATTCTCTCACTAATATAAATATCTACCTGGCAGGGGTCTGCCAGGGATCAATTAGTGGTATCTGAGTGCTGCCTTAAAGAGCGGAGCACTACGGCAAAGTTGTGTTTTATTATAGTTCCTACAGGTCCTTTTCTTCTCCTAGTTTTACATTTTTAACACCACCCACCAAGCAGTTCTCTCCCCTTTTAACAATACCGGGTAATGCAGTTTGTTGTGTGTCGTTTTCGAATTTCAGTCCCGCACGAGGAAAAGCTTTTGTTTAAATGAGCTAAGGGGCAAATTTCATTTTAAAAAATGCCCCTAGGGCTGTGCTGCTCCTTGGGGCAGGGTGCAGAAGGCCTCGTCCGGACGGTGTGAAATGCAGCCCCCGTTTTGGGCACAGCCTGGCACTGAGTGGGGGGATCACATTGAAAAGCCCGGCCTGGTTTTAGGTGCTGGAAAACGCTTGGAAATTGGCGGCGGTGCCCGGGTTTGGCCTCGGGTCTGCGGCGCTTCCGAGACGATCCGGGCGGCCTCGCTGGCCCTGCTCTCGCTTCCTGCAGGGTTGTTTTCTCCCGTGTTAAAGCGCAGGGTTCCCCCATCTGTCCGTGGCGGCAAAGCCGCCTTTCCCGTCTGCAGGAGACCCTCCTCCTCCTCCTCCTCCTCCTCCCTCTCGCACCATCGGCTGCACCACGAGTCCTTTTGTCCATTCCCGCATCTTCCCTCCCCCTCTCGCGCCGGCCTCGCTCCTTGTCCGGCTCCCTTGGGAGCCGATTCCGATTCCTCCCCTGGCTCCGAAGGGTCTCCCCAGGCTTCTCCCGCGATTTCCAGCACCTTTCCTCCCTCCGGAACGCCCTCGCCCGCTCGTGTCACTCGCTTCCGTTTGCCCTCGTCCGTGTGTATTCCTTGCCGCCGCTTCCTTGCATCCGTCCCCAGCATGGAGCCCCCCGGTCCTTTGTCACCGCTCCGCTGCCCAACCCTCTGCCACCGCCGTGTTGTTTCCTGCTGTGCCAGGCTCGTGTCCGCTGCCCCCGTCCGCATCCATTAGGAAACACGAGGCCCAAATCCAGCCCAAAGCAGAGCTCCTCGTGCTCCCGGGAGGCAGACGCGCTGGTGGCAGAGGAATTTGTCACTTTGGTCCTAGGTGACACACGTGGAAGTCATTTCCAGCGTGCGTGCTCGCTGCTAGCACCCGCTCTCTTGCCATGCGAAGCGTCGGGGATATCCCTGGGGAAATGGTGGCATCTCACATCATCTTCCTAAGATGGAATCTCCGGCTTTGGAGCGAGTGCCACAGGGGCAGGGCAGGCACATGTCTGCCAGGGACGGGCTAGGGACAGACCCAGGCCTGCGCTGTGGCCTAGGTACCCCTTAGGGTTTTATCCAGCCTTCCGATGACTCCTTGGAATAAACCTTGATCCTGCGATTTTTGCCTGGCCGTTTTCATTCTACGCTTGCGATGGCCAAGTCCAGCTCTGGGACCAAGTTTGCTAATGACATGACGCTTGTGTCCGAGGAAAATGCAAGGAGAGGGCTCCTCTTGGAGCACGGAGACCGGGGAGGAGGTGAGGGAGCTCAGGGAGCTTTCCATGCCGTATCTGGCCGCGGACACCAGGATCCTTGGCCAACCGGGGCAAGATTCCTCTTATCCCATTGGCACTGGTAGCAGCACAGTTCCCTATGGAGTCCCATTCCTGGGTTTTGCTTGGAGATCCGAGCTTGGAGCAAGGCTGCCACTTCCCACTGGAGACGAACACAAGCTCGGTGCCAGGGCCGAAGGGAGAAGGTTTCGGAAGCTGCGCGCCGTGGCTCTAAGAATCCTCTGCTCCTTGGTGATGTCCTAGTGCCACCTAGGAGCCCAGCATTGCATTTCTGGCTGCAAAATCCCTCCCTTCAAAAAAAAAATATTCAGAAGCCAAGGCGCATGGAAAAGTCTCTTGCCTTTTTTGGAAGAGCAGAAAGCTGTTTTCTGAGTTGCAAGGAGCAGGGGGGCGGCTGGGTGGGCTCCCAAAGCCCCCAAAGCCTCTCTGGAGCAAGAAGTCCCCGGGAAGATCCCCCTGCTCCGGTTTGGGGCAGATTTCTTTCCCTTCCTGCCCCTCCTGAGCCGTGTGGTGATGGGCTCCGTGTTGGCCGTTGCTGCCTGTGGGCTGGTTGTCCCTCCCGGCCATCTCCTGGCCTTGCTCCTGCCACCTGCAGCGCCGGCTTGGCCAAAAACCTCCCAGGGGTAGCTAAAACGGGTTGGTTTTGAGCAGGGTTCAAAGGTTTCGCGGGGGCTGAGGCGGGTTGTGGTGGCCAGCAGAGGAGGGAGCCTTCCCTGGACTCTTCCCCATGCTGGGATTGGGGGGAAAAAGCACCTAGAAGAGCATTTTTCCCCCTTCTTACCTGCTCCGAGAGCCGCTCCGGGGCAGTGTGGGGCTCACTCCCACCATGGCAGCTTGGGGGCTTCTCCTCGTGACATGGTGACTCCAGGGCTTCCCCAAGGAGGCGGGTGGGCAGCGGGAGAGGCACCTCTCCTCTAACCTCCCTGCTTGTTTCTCCCCTCTCTTTCACCCTCCAAGGCTGCAAGATCAAAGCGCTGCGGGCGAAGACCAACACGTACATCAAGACGCCGGTGCGGGGCGAGGAGCCGGTCTTCATGGTGACGGGGCGGCGGGAGGACGTGGCCATGGCCCTGCAGGAGATCATCTCCGCGGCCGAGCACTTCTCCATGATCCGCGCGTCCCGCAACAAGGCCGGCACCACCTTCGGCAGCGCGCCCACCTTGCCGGGCCAGGTGACCATCCGGGTGCGGGTGCCCTACCGCGTGGTGGGCTTGGTGGTGGGACCCAAAGGAGCCACCATCAAGCGGATCCAGCAGCAGACCAACACCTACATCATCACGCCCAGCCGGGACCGGGACCCTGTCTTCGAAATCACCGGAGCGCCGGGCAACGTGGAGCGCGCCCGCGAGGAGATCGAGACCCACATCGCCGTGCGGACGGGCAAGATCCTGGAGTACAACAACGAGAACGACTTCCTCTCCAGCAGCCCCGACTCCGGCATGGAGAACCGCTACTCGGAGGCCTGGCGGGTCCACACGCCGGCCCCGAGCTGCAAGCCCCTCTCCACCTTCCGGCAGAACAGCCTGGGCTGCATCGGCGACTGCTCTGTGGACCCCGTCTACGAGACCCCACGGCTGAACGACCAAAACGACTTCAATTACGGTTACCTCTTCCCCAACTACGGCGTCAACAAGCAAGATCTCTACTACGGGGTGCCGGAGTCGGGTGCTCCCATGTGGGCCGGCCAGGAGAACACCAACCCCGTCTCCGTGCTCTTCTCCAAGCAGCAGCGGTCCAGCAGCAGCAGCGCCATCCACCCCAACTCCCATCGCTCGCCTTCCTCTTCCATCCAAGAGCCCGGTCTCTCCGGGCTGCCGCGGCGGCGCTGGTGCCTTGCGGCCACAACCTCTTCTGCATGGAGTGCGCCGTGAGGATCTGCGAGAGGACTGATCCCGAGTGCCCCGTCTGCCACGCTGCAGCCACTCAGGCCATTAGAATATTTTCCTAAAAAAAAGACAGAGCAGGGCGATGGGATGGGGATGGGGCGGCGGGAGGGGGGAGGAAGAGGAAGGGAGCGTGGCGGGGAAGGGAGGGCTCCAGGAGGAAGCAAAGAAAAGATGCTGATAATAATAATAATAATTAATAATAATAATAATGACATCTGAAGAACAAACGAATGAGTGAAAGGATAAATTAATTTAAAGAAGAAGAAGAAGAAGAAAAAAAGAAATTATTTTACGAGCAATGTATGTTATTTTTTAAAAAAAAAGCAGAAAAAGAAAGTGAATAATAAAATTAAAATGAATAGCAAAGCCAGAAATTGTGAAGGGCGAACGATGCTCCAGCCTGCGATGTCTTCTTGAAAGCAAGTACTCTGAACGCACACTCGGATCTTGCAAGCAAAGCGGTTTAGTTCCATTTTTTTTGGTGGCGAGACTGGGACTTCTCTGCGTTGACCAAGCCGGGCCTTCCCGCCGGGATGGAGGAGGGAGCAGGGATGCGGGGAGGGCCCTGCCGCTCTTCTCCGGCCGCCTTGGTCCGAAGCCCCCCCAGGGACGTCAGCCCAACTGGGAGCTCGGAAGGAAACAAATAGGAAGAAAGGAAAACGGATGACGGGGATGTGAAAAGGAAAAAAAAAAAAGAAAAAAAGAAACCATCAACCTCTGGGAACCTGTTAGAACGAGGGCACAACTGTATTACCTCAAAGATTTAAACAAAAACCACAGCAGCTAAAGAACTTTTATTGTTTTCCTTTTTTTCTAAAAAAAATATGAAAAAAAAAACAAAAAAAAAGAAAATCACAAAAAGAAGAAGAAATTAAAATGACGCCAGTGAAACTGAAGAAGGTTTGGAAGAACCTATTGGAATCGCACTGGGCGATTAGCATTTATTTTATTATTCTGAGCCACCGCGGAGTCTGGAACTTTGTTCTTTTTTCCTTATCCGAGCAGGGATTTTGTTCATCCGACGAATCAGGAGTCACTAACAGGGTATTTCAAAAGCCGTCTTGAGTTCCCATCCGTGCGGGGAGTGTCTCGACTTCCGTCTTTCCGTAATTCACACTTCATCCTTTTTTCCAAGTGATGCCAGCTGCAGCTACACCGAACACACACACACACAATGTTGTGCTTTTCTTTTCTTAAATATATATATATATATATATATATCACACCAAAACCTAAGAAAGACGATCATGCAATACAGGCAATGAGCCCATATGAAACCAACATGCATCCCAACAGAAAGCAAAAAACCACCCGAGTTTATATATATAATTTTGTTGTTGTCGTTTTTAAACTGGACCAAAAGTTTTGTTACCCAAAACCGAGTGGAGGAAAACAAACAAACAAACAAACAAAAAAAAACAGAAGAAAAAATATTTCTTTATGGACCAAAACCTCTTCAACTGTCCTTTACCTGGATCTTCCTGAGGTTGGCCGCTTTTATATATTATATTTTTTTCAGAATGGAACAAAACAATACAAAACAAAAGCGAATTGCCTTGTCGAACATCCTTTAAGCATTTCAAGACTCCTGGTTTGGTTAAATCAGATCCTTTTTTAAACCATTGGGAAGTGGGGAGAGGATGGTCCTCGGACCTGGCTCAGCCGGCGCCAGGTTTGTTCGGATGCTCTCTGGATGCCCAAACGCTGCGGTGGGTTAACCTATATAGAAATCTATAAATATATGTGTATATATACATATATAGATATATATAGGGGCACTTAATGCGTCGAGCACCTATATATATATGTATGTGTATACAAAATTCTCTATATGTTGTTTTCTCCCACCAGCGCCGTTTCCCCTTTCTCCTGCCCCTCCACTTCTGCTCACACATCCCGCGGGGACCCTGGTTTCGAGCCGAACCCGCAAAGTTTCGCAGCTTGGCAGAGCCGGTTCTACAGCGAAAACCACACAAACACCCCCCCAAAAAAACAGAAATAAAAAAAAAAATCACCTGAGATTTTTTTTTCCCTTCAGTTCCAGGAGACTTTAATTTTCATCGTAAAATAACGTTCCCAGGGACATCCCCCCCTCCTCCTGCTTGGTTTGCGGCGGCTGGTTGCTTGAGCCGGTGATCCAGTTATCCGGTGCTCCGGGCTGCGGATTTCAGGCGGAGGGTTTGGAAAAGAGGTGCCTCCGCAATGGGAAACCGTGTGGAGGGGCCGGAGGCGGACAGTGGCGACGTGCCCGGCTTCGGCCACCAGTTAGGAATGATTTTTTAGTTGAAAAAGGTAAAAAAAAAAAGAAAGAACAAAAGGAAGCGGTGCTAAAGGGATGCGGTCCGGGCGGATTTGTCGTCGCCTCCTTCCCGGAAGCTTTAAGACATCTTGGGCCGGCTGCTTCTCCCGGGATGTGGGGCCGGGGGGGAATCCGGGCGCCCCGCGGGCGCCTCCTTCCCTCGGCCCTTCGGAGCCCCGCTCCGACCATCCTGCGCGGAATTCGCTTTGGAA